GAGTATACTACAGTTGAAGCAAATCGCTATCTCTTCATGTAAAGGATTTACATACGTATTTATAATTTTTCAACACTAACTTCAAGGGGTGTATCTTGCAGGTTAGCAGGTATTAGCAGCTGAGCTCAACGTTATTTCGTTCAGCAACTTATACCCTACTGTTACATATACAATTCACAGGGGAATCCAAGGGGATACCTAATGAATTTTCTAATAAAGTACCTCAATGTTTTGTTACGTTTTGCTGTTTTCATGACCATTTTTCTAAGTGTTTACATTAGAGTGGGTTTCCCGCTGCTCTTTCAATGCTTATTCTGGTCCCCAACAACTAGGAAAAATTTGAACGAATTTGGTTATAATCTCGATTTGCAGGAGAATTTTAAATTTTGTATGGTAAACGGAACGATCCTTTTCATTTGCTCACCAAAAATCCAAATATTGCTCAAATGCAATGTTACTTGGGATGCCCCTCTTTTTTTTTTGATTTCGTCCCACTGTGTGTCTGTGGAAATTCATCAAAACATATTTATAATGTTCGAAAATCTCTTTGTTGTTGATCGTGTGATTTTGGAGGTTTTTGTCAAAATTGATTCCTGGTCTGTCAGAATAAAGTCTGGTACAATAGCAGGTTTATTTGAAAATTTTCTATCTGTCAAAATTAAATTTAAATTCACCAAATGGAACACAGCCACACATATTGAAATCAACATGTGTTCGATTTTGACGTTCTGGTTCTGTAGAATTTTAGATATTTCAAGCATCCCTATTCAAATCAACGTATCTGATTTTGTAAACAATCACTTCAATCGGCGATTTGTGGAAACTGCAAGTTCACTCACAGAAACTTACAACACCAGCTAGTAGGCGAAAGTTTCGAAAGGTGTTTATTTGCGTAGGTGCGTTAGCAGACCTCCCTTAGCTCAGTCGGTAAAGCAAAAGCAAGAAAATGCTGGAGGTGGCTGGGTTCGATTCCCGGTCCAGTCTAGGAATTTTTCGGGTTGGAAAATTTCTCGACTTCCCTGGGTATAGAGTATGATTGTACTTGCCACACAATTATACTAATGCAAAAATGGTACAGGCATCGAAAGCTCTCACTTAAGAACTGTGGAAGTGCATCTAGAACACTAAGTTGAGAGCACTCAATAAGCTAATATGCCATACGCAATAAGCTTGAAATGCGAGGAAGAAAGAAGAAGCGTTAGCAGTTAAGACAAATCGTCGATTAAAGAGATTGTTTACAAAAGTAGATACGTCGATTTGAATAGTTACGCTTGATTTGTTTAGGCCGCTGTCATACTGAGAGCGAAGAGGCACGCCAAGCGTAAAATCGAATGTAAGGAATAATATAAATAAAATGAATTATTTTGTATAGAACGCTAAGCACGCCTCTTTGCTCCCACTATGGCAGCGCCCTTGTTGGTTTCCATGTTGGTTTCCATCAGCGATGACATGTATCCTAATGTATGTACATGCTAAAATTTGGGATAGTTTTAAGGCTGTAAAGCTGTAGTTTTCATGCATATCAGCTAGACTAGATCATTTACAAGTATCAAAAATGAATTATGAAGGCTAGTTTGATGCATTTTTCAGAAGTATAACGAGTAGATGAATTGTATTGGTAACGACTACAAGTTATGACAATCTCAATTAAACCTTTGCAAATCATATTAATAAAACCTTTGATAGAAACTCAATGTTAAGCTTTAATGTTAAGAAAAGGAATCATTGTCCTCCCTAATTTCCAAACCTCAAATGCAATGTCCTCCTTTTCAAGTTTTTGATATGGTAACCCTACTCCACACGTAGGGTTACCATATCAAAAACTTGAAAAGGAGGACATTTCATTTGAGGTTTGGAGATAAAGGAGGACAATGTTTCCTTTTCTTAACATTAAAGGAGGACAATGAGTTTTTATCAAACGTTTTAATAATATGTACGCTATCACAAAATTCATGATTTTCAAAGGTTCAATTGAGATTGTTCATAACTTGTAGTCGTTATCAATTTAATTCATATGCTCGATTTATGAAAAATGCATCAAAGTAGCCTTCATAATTTATTTTAAATACAAGCAAATGATCTAGTCTAGCTGTTTTGCATGAAAACAACAGCTTTACAGCCTTAAAACCATCCCAACTTTTATCATGTACACAAATCCGGATACATGCCATCGCTGATTGAAACCGATATGAAAATCTAAGCAACCTGTTAATTTTACCATTGATTCAGCAAACGACTCTAAACCAACACCTAAAATCCCATAGAACCAAAACGTCAAAATCGAACACATGTTGGATTGCTGTGTTCCATTTGGTGAATTTTCACTTAAATTATAAAGAAGGAAAATTTTCAAATAACAAAGGTATTTCTTTTTTTTTTACCTTTGGTTTGTTTTTTCCGTCGATCTTGTTTTCCGTGCTGAGCCCCAATGCTACCGACGTGCCAGGAAGGCAGCTCCCACACCTGGACCCTACCTATCGACCCATCAACTCATGAACCGGGGACCAACGGCTTTACTTCCCATCCGAAGGAAGGCGTGATCAGAGATGTTATGCCTCAGAACATCCCGGCGGCGCCGACTGGGATTGAACCCGGGCCTGCTGGGGTGAGAGGTAATCACGCTTACCACTACACCACCGGCGCCGTTACCCAGGTTTTTCATCAGACTTATTTCTGACAAACTAGCAACCCATTTTCACAAACACCTTCTTGAAAAAGGGGGGGGGGGGATTTTCGAAGAGTATAATATATTTTCGAAATTTCAACATTAGATGAAAATTCCCCAATTGGAACACAGTGTAAGGCTCTAACACCACTATCAGGTAGAGGATATTTTCCCCTATTCGATGGTACTGTTAGTATGCGTGGGCGAGCTACCAGTTACGTCAAATCGATGATCAAATGCATTGTTCACAAAAGCTGATTCGTCCTTTCGGAAACGTAATCGAGATTTGGTGAATTTTTGACACTTCGAAAATAAATTATAAATGTTAGAAGATCTCTCTGTTGTTGATCATCCGAATTTCGAGGAATTATTTGTCAAAATTGATCCCTGGTCTGTTAAAAATAAATCTGGTAGAATAGCAGGTTTATTTAAAAAAAATCATCTGTCAAATTTAAGTGGAAATTCAGCAAATGTAGGGGGTTGACAGCTGTAGTGTATTCCTGATCCCACCATTGAATGGCATTTGCTATATAAGATGAGGTTGCGACATAATTAAACAAATATTCTCTGCAAACAACGCTCAAGGAATTTTATAAATATGTTACTGGATAAAATGCAATTAATAAAAAGGAGGACATTTTCGGGCAAATGGAGGATGTAGAAAAATTGTTGAAAAAGGAGGACATGTCCTCCTTTAGGATACCATATGGCAACCCTATCCACACGTAACACACACATTCAAAATATGAATGTTTACGAACAACGAAAATCCGAAATGGATTCTGAATCCATTCCGGATCCTCCTCCGATACCGAACTTAGAAAGAAACCAGTATGAGGACCAGTGGCAGAAACGGCAAACCGACGCTGATATCACAATTTTTCACCGGTTCCACTGAACTGAAACCCCCGGACACCCACCCCGGACCAGGACCTCAATACCCACAGGTCACCCTTAATCACTCCTGAAAAAGAGCAAGAATGTAGATGCTCTGCCCGAAGATCTTTTTGTTTTTCATTTCATTGCAATAAGTTTTATTTTGATTTAGTGCAGACTACTAAAATAATTTCAAAATATGAATGTTTATTTAAAACATGAGAAGTAATATTATTTTTAGTTTAAACATTGATTTCACATGACTTCAAACATGGGAACGTTTGAAATCAAACTAATTTATTTTTGTGGCAAGAACAAACTGAGTTTACGTTTAAATTTACCTCAAATATTTTTGTTTTTGCGATAGTTTTTCTGCGTGCAGGATCAAGGAGATGGAACTCCGTTTGCGAAAACAATTTGACCACTTTGTCAAGCAGTTTTGGCGTGACTTTCTACCAGGGATTTCACAAAACTGGACTATTTTTTTATGAAACGCACAAATGTTGGCTACTTTTCTCGTGGTTCTAGAAGAAAAAATCTCAAAATAATGTTTTATTTCAAAGTTCGAGTGGTAGTATGAGCAGAGGCATGACAGCAGCGCTGTTTTATATCTTTTCAGGTTCAAGCAGAACGATGTACAACCAAATGGTACTCGATTATGACTAATGGGTTAGGGAAAATCGTTTATTTCATGAAAACAGAGATAAAATTATCATTTGTACAGTTTTCGAATGTTTTTTGTGGAAAATAAAAAAAAAAATATTTCAGCATATTCGTAATGTAATATCCTATCGATTGGCCTATTTGGATTTTATTTTCAGCGTTCAAAACCTAACACTATTTCACCACCCATATTTTTTGATTTGCACTCCAGTATAGTCGACAAAGACGTAGTTCTACGTCAAAAGTTGAGCACGTTTCTTCGGGACCTTCTGGTGCTACTGCGGCAACTTTCTCACCGGGCTACAATTGTTGCTGCTTCATCTGTTTCACAAGCTCGCTGAATAGCTTGTTCTGATTTTTAAATTGCATTGGTATTTTAACCATTTTGCTTGGATAACCTAGCTAGTGTGAGCTCACATTTCTGTGAACGGGTGAACCGACAAAAAACAAAATGACGTCGTGGGGCTTCCGCGTACACTCGTAACGCGCCCGGAGAGGGAAAGTTCTCACAAGTTCAACATAAACGATTTCACGATCCGAAACTTTTTTACGAATTTAATCCGCGAGAACTTCTGACACCATGTTTTGCTTTCTGATCAGAGAACAAGCAAACGCACGTCTAGTTATTTCCATGAGCTTTATTTGACTGTCTGTTCTTTTACTCTCTGGGTACTACTAGGTTATTATAAATTCGGGGAAAGCCAGATCAATGTAAACAGGGTGATACAAAAGTAATAATAAGTCAACTTAAAGAATCTTCTTGATTAATAATATAACCCTTTCGTTCCAATTTCAGTCCCATATCGCCTCCCCCGCTGGAGTTGCACTTCTCCATGCGCAGCTTTTCGAAACGGATCCTGCAGTCCTGTTCGGTTTTCTCCCTCCCGGAGTGCATCGAGGGTTTCTTACTGCAACTGAAGGGTCACCACGATTCGGAAGAGGACGTGATCAAGCTTTCGCTGCGCATCGTCGACGGTTACGACGTGAACGACATCAAGGTGATCTGCTACCCGACCAAGGGAGGCGAACCGCTGGTCAGGCGCATGGACCTGAGGAAGGGCGAAGACAACACGGTGCTAGAGTTTCCCGACTTTCCTTCGATGGGTGGCTTCCTGGAGGCACGCTCCGATGAGCTGCATATGCAGATGAAGTTTAGTTTGTGGGCTACGTACTACGATAAGTGTGCCCATAAGGATTGGTACATTAAGAAGCTGACCGGCGTTAAGCGGGAGGTGCTTGAAGAAATGCATAAAATGCACTAATAGTAATGGTAAGGCGTTCGCGCTGGTCGTGACCATTTGCCGTATGATTCGGTTTTGAGTGTATCTTTATTGTAATAACCGTTGTGATTTTTATTTAATGATTGTATGTATCACTTGTACTAGACTATATATTCATCAAGATAGGATTAACCATCAATCTAAATCGAATAAATGTAACAGAATTGTAAACAGCGATGTCTGATTGAAATCACAGTCTGCATTGGAACTGTGATAAGCTTTCAGGAGTGGTAAATTTCGATGACTTGTCGTTCGCTATCAGGTGCTTGTAACGCAAATTGGGAGTTCACAGAGTGCCTACATTGACGTGTGTTACGGCTGTTGTCGTTTGATAAGCCCCAACATGCCTACCGTTGCAACCTTATCACGATTGCCACCGATTTCATTTGGCCGTTCAAAAACACACAATTAGAGCCATAATTAGTTCAAATCACTTCGCCTAAGGTTCCAGCCTGAAGATTATCGTACACGTTAATAAACTTTACACAAGGCACAGATTTTCCCATCGGACGGAGATAGAGAGCGTTCAAAGTGATGTCTCTTTTAATTCCCCGCTGTCAATGAGTGTGTCTATAGGTTAAGGCAAACATGCCAGAATGTAAGTCCCTCTCGGAACGATAAGATAATGGCCGCTGCCGAAATCTGGCAGATCTGCAAACCAGAGTGATAAGATATGCTTCTTCGGTCAAATTTAGCGTTTTTTTTTTGTTTTGCTTCGCCTTGCCATAACTAATCAGTATCGGTCTGGCAGTTGGTCCCGTTGGCCACAGGCTAGGAGTGAGTGGCGTGTGCGAAAATTAGCTACTGTGACCCGGATGGAGTTGAACTTGTGTCAAATTCACAGAGCAAAGGAATACTCGAAGTTTAAATCTTATCATAATCATTCCAACTATAGTTGAAGGTGATTGAAAATTCTCGTGCTACCCCAGAAAAATTAGTGGTGTGGCCTGTGTAGTGTCACGTGAAGCCGATTATTTTCGGTGCCAAAATTGAACCAAAATGCGTAGCACATTTTTTCAATAGAAATTAAGGTTTCGAGAATGTTGCAGAATATAATTTGTTTCAGAGCACAATTCACTTCTTTTGGGCAAGTGACGAAGGAGTGAAAACAGGGTTTTTTCGAATGAAGAGAACGGCCAATATGACGGCATGATTGATATACATTAAACCGTGTGCAATTTCTTATCTTATAATTGGATAAACACTTTTTTTCTACGCACACATACACATCAAGTGCGACGGAATATCAGCAAAATAATGTTGTTTGATTTTGAGAACTGGCACGGAAAAATTGTTACTGAATTTTGCTATAAGCTAACTCTGCCTCGAGGGGGGCGACACATCTAAATTTCAATTCTAGATGCCCAACAAATCTCACACTAGCCAATCAATCTTCGAAAAATTTTCTTTCGTTTCTCACATCTACTTGCATTGCGCATCGTATTTTTGCAGGATATCTTCTGAATCGTCATCAATCTTCTTTCTATCTACTCCCACCGTTTCCCGCAATGGTCAAGTAAAAATTGATTTAGTTGTTTTGTTTATTTGTTTATTTGTTCTTCGTCTTCGACAGTGTCGTACAGACTAGTTTAACTTATGCTATGTTTTTAATCCTATTTTTAAAACAATTTTTTCGACCACAATTTGTGTGAATCATATTTAGGCTCTGAACCATTTGGTGGATTTTTTTCACTTTTGGTTAAAATTTGACAGATGAAAAGTTATCGATTAACCCTGCTATCCGAGCGTGGTTACTTCTGACATACAAGAAGTTAAATTTTTACAACCTTGGCTAAGTTCTTCTCGAAAACCGGTCGATCGACAGCACAGGGATTTTCGAACATAGAAAATAACTTTCGAAATGTCACTTTTAACCACGAGCTAAGTTTAACTCGGCAAATGGTTCATAGCCTTACTTTCCTATATAACGTTATCTAGAAAACTTTTCTTTTTTTTGTGCGCAACGCAGTGTGACATGTATCAAGCTTAATCGTAGAGGCAAAGGAGGAGGTGTCAACTTAGCACTATAGAGCACCAGAGGAATATGGCTTCACTCGAGTTGTTCGTAGATTACAGGCGTTGCAGTCCTGTGGGGTAAACGGGCTAAACCCTTAAGCGAACCCCATACGTATCAATATATTGACGTGAAGGGGAATTATTGACAATAATATTAATGGTGAATACAGAATTATTTAGTTGAAGATGCTAATTTCAAATAACAGACTGTAGTGGTAATTTTTATACGATAGATGGAGTAGATGAAAGCATAGAGTTGATAGTTCCGTTAGAGTACGGCAGTGTGAAGATTGTATATAGATATTAGACAAGCGAGCTAGGACAACTTTTAAGGAAGGTACAAATCGGTTTTTTCATCTCTCTTTACCAAACTCCCCCTTTGGAGAGGAATGGTGAGGGGTGTCCCCCCCGCCACCACTGGCAAAAAGAGATGAAAACCGACCCGCATGTACCAACTGTGTGTTTGAAACAGTTCTACCGATTTTTTACCGCACTTCAGTTGTTATTTGAAGGAAGGCATCCAGTCGTAGGTTTGGAAATTGCAACTATTGTTTACCCCTACCACGATATGTGCTCCTGTCATCGTCGACTTGACGATCTCGAGGGGACACGGGTGGGGTAGGTGCTGCTACTGTACCTTTCGACCATTGACAGTAATTGATGGTATGCTCCCATCCAGAGTTATGTACTTTGACTATATGTTTTTAGTATTACTTCTACGTGAAGTCAACGATTTACATAGTTGAAGATGCTAATTTCAAATAACAGACTGTAGTGGTAATTTTTATACGATAGATGGAGTAGATGAAAGCATAGAGTTGATTATTAAAGCATTAAAGCTCCAATCTTCTCTAGTGAGAGCGAGTATTGTCGGCAACCAGTTTTTCTTCGGCAATCGTTCCATTTGAACTGCATGTAAAGGGTGATACGGTCAAAATTTGGTCAAGGGAAAACGTGTGTAAATCGGTGAAATCGTTTATTTAAAAAATCAAATTAAATTTCTTTTTCAAGTTCAATTAGTATAAAATTCAGGAAAAATATTTAGTTAGGCTTCCGCTTTTCCAAATCCGAATTGCCGGGCCTTACGCTTGACCCCTGCCATCAGATTTTGTACAGCCACCTTGTCCACCTTCTTCGCCGCAGAAAGCCAGTTTGCCTTGAACTGCTGCTCGCCCTTAGCAGTTTTTTTGGTCTTCTTTGAGTTCCGCTTGACAATAGCCCAGTATTTCTCAATTGGGCGGAGCTCTGGCGTGTTGGGAGGGTTCTTGTCCTTGGGAACCACCTGCACGTTGTTGGCGGCGTACCACTCCATGGCCTTTTTACCGTAATGGCAAGATGCCAAATCCAGCCAAAACAGTACGGAACAACCGTGTTTCTTCAGGAAAGGCAGCAGACGTTTATTCAAACACTCTTTCACGTAAATTTCTTGGTTGACAGTCCCGGAAGCTATGAAAATGCTGCTTTTCAAGCCACAGGTACAGATGGCTTGCCAGACCAGATATTTCTTTGCGAACTTTGACAGTTTCATGTGCTTGAAAACATCTGCTACCTTTCCCCTTCCTTTTGCCGTATAAAACTCCTGTCCCGGAAGCTGCTTGTAGTCGGCTTTGACGTAGGTTTCGTCGTCCATTACCACGCAGTCAAACTTCGTCAGCATAGTCGTGTACAGCCTCCGGGATCGCGCTTTGGCCGTCGTATTTTGTTTATCATCGCGATTTGGAGTCACTACCTTCTTGTAAGTCGATAGTCCGGCTCGTTTTTTGGTTCGATGCACGGTTGTAGACGATACACCCAGCTTATTTGCGGCATCTCGGAGAGAGAGGTTAGGGTTTCGCTTGAAACTACCGGCAACTCTCTTTGTCGTCTCAGCGGCTTCCGGTTTTCGATTTCCCCCCGATCCAGACTTCCTGGCTGTCGACAAACGTTCCCCAATCACTTTAATTACATTCGTAACGGTTGATTTGGCAACTTTTAGCGATTTTGCCAACTTTGCGTGCGAGTAGCTCGGATTTTCGCGAAGCGCGAGCAAAATTTTGATACGCTGCTCTTCTTGCTTGGACGGCATTTTGACAACTGAAGAGTGAATTCCAAAATCAAAATAGGAGCAACATTCTACACACACACCTTCAAAATGAGGGGTGTTCAGGTTTTTTAAATGCAAAATTGAAAGAAATACGTCAAGTTGATATTGACCAAATTTTGACCGTATCACCCTTTAAATCTGCTGTTCTATTATCGGCAACTCTAAATCAGCTACAATTTGTAGTGCGTGTGTTGCATTTCAAGAAAACCTTGCTAGATTGCTTTTTCTCAGTGGTAAAAATATAGTCAAATTGAAGCTGAAAGCATAAAGAATCGTTTGCATGCATTCAGCGAAGTGTTTTCGTAAGAAAATCCAGTGAAAATAGTGTTTCAATTTGGGTTTCCGAAAATAGTCTGTCATGCCGAAGCCGTCATTTCCCCTACCAAATTGTTCATCCATGAGCCTCTCGAAAAGGAATCAGCACTGTCAGAAATGACGTTTGACTTCGATTTAGGTTAAAGCCCTCTAGTTAAAGTATGGGCGAATGTCACCACAAAACTGAAAAAGCTATTCCAATCGAGCAAAGCGGTGCATTTTGACGGTTCGATTGGAACAACTTTGGACAGACGTCCATACTTTTACTGTAGGGCTTTAAATAAGGTGGGTTACAGCCCAACTAACGGAGACTTATCAAAAACGTAGCTCGTGGTAAGCTCCAACCGGTGTTATCCTTGGATTAAATCCCGATCACTAATGTCCGGCTGCTTTGATGCCGACATCAGAGTTAATCAACATACCCAGATTCAAACGTTCCATACAATGTAGAGGAGTATGTTGGCGTTCCCATACTACCTACAAAAGTCAATGGATTTCGGTGGAGTTTTCTAACCATATGAACGGAGGAGATTCCATTCAATTTCGGTAAAGATTGTCGATGCTGCTAGTTAAAGTTCCGGTGGATTTTTCTCAATTCTCGACGGAGCAGGTTCTAATCGATTCCAGTGGAGGTATTCGATGCTGCCATTCTGCATTCTTGACGGAACAGGCGGACAAGCAGTCGATTCCGGTCGATGTTAGAAAAAAATCCACTGAAACTTTCGTTGGCA